AGAGAGAGAGAGAGAGGGGGAGAGCACCGTCAGAAGGTTGCCATTGAGAATGTGCAAGCGACTATTTAAACATGTTGCCACCACTGCAGTATAAGCTCAGACAAACTCGTGGATGCTCATCGTTTTGCTTTGCTTGATTCGGACGCTGTTTGAACCTGTATGGCTCTGCGACAAAGAACGAACGATGAGTCATGTCCATCAGAAAGCTCCGAGAGGAAGGTCCTCAAGGCGGACTGCAGCGGGTACAGTAGCTGCAAAGAGCCATTTTGCCACGATCATTCTGCTGTTGGTCGCCTGGCCCTTGCGAGGCGAATAAAGATCCAAGTCTGAAGTCTGAAAACGAGTTTAAAACTTGCTGGTCAGCGACTTCTTTAGGCGCTGCCTCAGCCGCGGCACGGTGAGCGGAATGTCCAGGTCGTCCGACGCAGTGACCGCTTCGGACGCCCGCGCCTGGACCCGCCAATCGCGGGCCGCAAAGGCAGAGCCTGCCGCGATGAGCCCCCCGATCCGCTGCAAGGACACGCGCAGCGCCTTGGTGCTCCACTTCACCGCCTCACCGGCGGCCACTTCCGGGGCCTTTTTGGCACTCTGGGCATCCAGGTCCAGGAGATTGATGCCATCCAGGAGTGAGAAGGACGCTTTGGTGGAAGCCGGCGTGGTTTCCCCCTGGAGCAGATTGCAAAGATTCTGAGAGGACATGAATGCCAAGCCGGTCTTCTGATTCGGCTCTTGCAGGAGGTGGTGGAGTTCATGCAGCGACTCGTCCAGGCCCTGAACGACTAGCTTGATAGCTCGAACGAAAGTGCGGCATCGGTCCACATCGCCAGATGGCAGAATATCTTTCACCAGTTTGGCAGCATGCCCAATGCTGTCACAGCGCTTGGCACTGTTCTGGAGCGCCGACACCCAAACATACACCTGCATCTCACAGCACGACAGTTCGATGAACTCGCCTAAACTTTACCATCGGCAATGCCACTGTCAGACACCGTGCATCAGCGTTGAGATGTTGTCGTCACTACTCACATCCACATCGACCTTCAAATCCCCATCGTCACTATCATCATGCACATCGGCCTAAACATCAACAACATCATCTTTTCTTCCTATAACCGTCATCATCACCATCAAAACATCAACCATTTCTTTCCAATATCCTTACCCATGACTACAACAAATCATTATTGATGTCAATGCTGACACTTCTCCTTCTCCATTATGATTTTGCTGAACCATGCGCAACTAATATTATTAATGCCAACGACACGACGGGCACGAACAGTCGGCACTGACATCATGACCTGTCATTCTTTACCTCACGTGTACCAGCTCACAGGCAACTTCCCCGTCACTGTCACAGTACTTTCAACCGCCCTGCAACTATGATTGTCATTTGCAACTAGCCGCTAGCAGGTATTCCTCTGCCTGTGGCGTTTGAGCCGTCTGCAAAAACTAGTTTGGCCGCTATCGTCACCATCATCCTTATCATCATCATCATCATCATCACCATGGCGATCAGGTCTGTTCTGCCTGACGGTCTTTGTCGGGAGTGCTTACTGCGGTGGTTGATGTGTGCTTTGTTTCTTGCGTTGATGGCGATATCTATTTGATCTATTGCGTGTGCGTGTGTTCTCTGTTTTGGTTGCTCTACCTTCCTTGAAGTCATCGTGCACGAGATCTCGCAATCATTGTATGCTTTCACGTCTACGTCTCTTTCAAGCGAATGCCTCATCGAAGTAGTCCAGCAACGCTGGCACTGAGTCTGCCTCAGGGCTACGACGGTTGGGATTTCGGGCTTAGGGCTTTCAGGGTTGAGGGAAGCGGATGGGCCCGGACGTGCTTTGTTCTGTCTCAAGTCTTCGGGGTTGTCAGCATTTCTGTGACGCCTCCATGCATGAAGCGGGATGCCGGGATGTCCATTTCTCCCTGCTCCAAGACATCATCATCTGCAGGAGTAGCCGGATAGGGAGCCGCGCACCAGACGAGCAACTTCTGTATGGGTGTGCGCGGAGCATGTGATCGTGGCAGTATGATGCAAAGTAGGAAATGATACAACAACTAGTTATTGTAATCATCAAACCCTTGAACACTTCGGGACGCTGCACCCCTGAACCCCCAAAAAGAACCGGAAGGCCTTGTAGGGCGGCTGCCAGAGCCTTGTCCACACCAGACCTGCAAGGTGAGCATTTATACCCTAACTCCAACACCAACAAACAAATAAGCACTTGAAAGCTTGCCGGCCTTCTTTCTGGATCTCGGAGTCCCAGAACCGAGCAACCTGCGACATCTTAGACCCTGCGCGCCCGACGCCGCAGTAAAAACTTTGTTTCGTTGACTTCGTAGGAGACCTGCCTTCAATCTGGATTCGGATCTGGCTTCACTTGACAGGAGCAAGAACGCCTGTTGATTCTACCAAGCTGGCTTGGCTGATGTGATCTACCACACAAATCTATCAGCCGCAATGCGAAACTGTTGCCACTACTGCCAATGCCCTCCTGCTCAATATTGCTACCGCAGTTGCAGTTGTGCTGAATGCGACCGATATTATCTTTCAACTGTAAAACTCTTTGTTTCCATGAATGATCTGATGTGACGAATTAAAGCCGTCACGAAGCTTGCCGATGCAAGCAGTGAACTTTTAACGACAGGCTACTTGCGATGTTACAGCCATCCTTGCCTTTGTAGTCGTTGTTGCTGTCGTTGGCTAACATTATCAGCTGCCTGTGCCTTGTGATCACCGGCAAATTATTGCTGTTCTTCTGTTGGCAGCTGTATAAGTAACATAACTACTACCAAAACCCAATGCTGTACTCCTACTGCTGCTGCAACTATTCCTGCTGCTCCTCCTCCTCCTTTTCCGGCTGTGCTACTACTACTACTACTACTACTACAACTCTACTACAACTCCTGCTGCTGCTGCTGCTGCTGCGGCCACTACCACTACCACTACCACTACCTATTGCTACTGCTACTGCTACTGCTACTGCTACTGCTACTGCTACTGCTACTGCTACTGCTACTGCTACTGCTACTGCTATGCTACTACTG